TCATTCCGGGAAATATTGTTTTCGACCGACCGAGGCAGAGAGAGAGACTTAATCGATCGTCTCGGGAACACCACACGCACTCACGCCCCGGCGAAGGGGGAAGGGAGGGTGGAGGAAGGGGGGTAGGGGGTTGAGGAGGTATAGGGGGAAGGGAGGAGGGAGGAGGGGGAGGGTAAGGGGGGGCAAGGGGAGGGGTATGGGGGGAGGAGGGTACGAGTAGGCAGGGGTGAGGGAGGGAGGGTACTAGGGGGAGGTTGGGGGGAGGGAGAGGAAGGGAGGATGGGAGGAAAGTACGGGGGGGGTTGGATAGGGAGGGAGGTACAGGCGGAGGGAGGGTACGGGGGGAGGGGGATGGAGGTACGAGGGGGAAGGAGGTGGGGACAGGGGCAGGGGGAGGGGGAGGAGGGGGGAGGGAGTACGAGGAGAGGAGGGTACGGGGGCAGGGGGAGGGGAGAGGTGGAAATGTGTTATGTGAGGTAGCGAATGTGTGTGTTTTTTGTGGAGGGGTGAGGGAGGGAGGTAGGATGGAGGAGGGAATATGTGTTTGGGTGTGGGTGTGTGTGTGGGTGTCATTCTGTTTGTTTCCCGGTTGTGCTTTTAGCCTTCTCTCTCTCTTCACTCTCCTCTTTTCTCTCTCTCTCTCTCTCTTCTCTTCTCTCTCTCTCTCTCTCTCTCTCTCTCTCTCTCTCTCTCTCTCTCTCTCTTCTCTCTCTCTCTCTCTCTCTCTCTCTCTCTCTCTCTCTCTCTCTCCTCTCTCTCTCTCATCTCTCTCTCTCTCTCTCTCTCTCTCTCTCTCTCTCTCTCTCTCTCTCTCTCTCTTCTCTCTCTCCCCTCTCTCTCCCTCCCTCCCTCCTCCCTCTCTCCCTTCCTCTCTCCCTCCCTCCCCCCTCTTCTTTTTCTATATCTCTTTCTCTTTCTTCCCCCCTCCCTCCCCCCCCCTCTCTCTCTCGGTATATGTGTTGCACATTTATAGAGAAAGAGCAAAAAGAAAAGAAGGAAGAGTGAGTAATATGATAGAAAATGAGATGATGCAGAATTGCAAATAGAATCCGTGTGTGTAGGTTACGTGTGCGTATTCTACATGTACGCGTGCTCTGTGTACGGATTTCACTAATATACGTGTGCATCATGTGGGGATCGTAGCACCCCCCCCCCCCTCCCCCCCCTCCCCCCCCCCGTGCCCGCATCCTTCCTTCCAGGTGACAGCCAAGTATTTTTTTTTTTTTCATTTTTCGTTTTTTTTTTTCTCTCTCTCTTCTCTCTCTCCTTCCTTTCTTTTTCTTTTTTTTCCCTCGGCGTGTGCTGGTCTCGCGCCCGCCCAATTTCGGTGTGAATTCGTTCGGGCTGCGGGCGTTTGGCGTGTGTCGGCCTCGTGTGACAGACCTCAAGTGATTTGGCCATTTTCGAGTCCTTTTCGTCTCCGAATGGTCGTTCTCGGTCGGTCGGGTTTGAAGGGCGGGTGGCAGCTTTCGGACGAGTGATATTGTTTATTTTAGGTCAGGGCGAGTCGGAGGAGGAGGAGGAGGAGGGAAAGAGGGAAGATTAGGGAGAAGAGGAAAGAGCGAGAGAGAGAGAAGAGAGAGAGAGAGAGAGAGAGAGAGAGAGAGAGAAGAGAGAGAGAGAGAGAGAGAGAGAGAGAGAGAGAGAGAGAGAAGAGAGAGAGAGAGAGAGGGAGAAGAGAGGGGAGGGAGGGGGGCGGGGGGATCTAACTCGGGTTTTCGCCTGCAGCAGCTACAAGAACGACGTCCGATTCCGCTAACTGACGCTGACTTGGGCTTCGCCATTACCCTTCGGCGGAGAGAACGAAACAGAAACGAACGTTAATGGACAACCTCCTTCGTATACCTCCCTCTCTCTCTCAGAAAAAAAGAACTCTGAACTTTATCGCAAGAACATCTGTACTTTAAAAGCAAGTTTTCCTCCCAACAAATATGCTGAATCCAAAAAGCCTTCCATCATAAATTACGTGTCGGTTCCCGCCACAATACAGCGTCGGGGAAACCCTCTTTCAGGCGAAAACTTCTTAACCCAAAAGTCCATTAAAATTTCATCACGTCAAAGGGGTTTTATACATTCATATCGCCAACACATTAAAAATGCGTTGCCGCTGATCCCGCCTTTTCCCACAGAATCGGAACTCAGACGAAATATCACAAACTTTTTTGAGATTAACGGGCGTCGCCATTGTGGACGAGGGCGGCTTTGTCGTTCTTGGTTTGGCCGGGTTTACGAGTCTGGGGAATGAGAGAGAGAGAGAAAAAAGAAAATAAAGGAAGTTAATGATAATGATTTGAGATGTTGAATAAAGATAATGATTAAGGATATTGATACTGATGATGATAATGAGTATAAAGTTTGAATATGATGGGGAATGAGAGAGAGGAAAAAAAATGAATTATATAATGTTAATGATGGTGATATTGATGGCGATGAGGATGATGATGATGAAATAACGTATAAATGAATTAAAGTTTAATGATAATGGATTTAAATAAAGTTA